TGCACCAAAGTCCTCCCAAACCTGAAAGAGGCTATAATATTTTGTTAGTTGAACTTTGTGTCAGTGGAATAAGCAACTTGAAGTCTCATGGAAGACTAAAGTAATTATGACAAAAATCCAGTCAGTTTATGGAGACAGGTTAATAAAGAGTTGTCCATGTTTTCTGTATTAAACACTGTACAGTATATGGTACTGAAAGCTACCACTTCAGAGATAAGATACTGTACACCAGGTAACCAGGACTGAATAATGTAGCATTCCCTCCAGCTACCTTATCTTTCAGTGAATAAGGGCACAAGCTATGGTAGCAGATTACAAAAGATAGATTCTACAGAAGTGTGTTTGCAGGACAGCCATGTTTCCTGCACTTGTCATTGTGACATGGGCAAACATTCCTCCTGTAGGTGACAGCATTGAAGAAGGTATAGGACTCCGATATCTGTGTGGAGGGGAAAGTTTCCAACTGTTCCAATTTTATAGGGTCAGGCTCATATATAAAAGAGTTAAATTTTGAACAGCATAGCTTAGAAGCTCTTCAAGAACTTGTTCCAAGGATCATAAATGGAGAACAACAGGAGTAAGCTTCAGTATCTAAACTCACTGGAAGCTATTTTTGCCAGTGCATTCAATATGAATGCAAGTCTGTTTAGTTGGAAGTTTGTTTAGTGTGCAAGTGTGCACTAAATAGTTCTGTAAGATATTCAACCCTTTAAAAATGTGAAATTATGTATCAAGATCTGTCCCTTAAAAAGGAGGGTTGACAAAGCAAGTCCCATGTTGATTAAACTAATTTGCAGTTTGCCAAAAAGACTGAATATTTACGCACCTTCTCTAGTATCTCTACATTACATAGTAGTTGCAAATGTCATTAAGTACTACCCTGGTCAGAATTTCAATAATATTAAAGAAATTAGCATTTCAAGTCAGCAATAAGCCAATACATCATTCTCATGTACCAAGTAGTCTTCTTTAAAGTGTCAAGCTTCTTGCCAAGGGGCAAGTTGTGTTCAATAAGGGTCACTTGGCCAGTGTATGAATTCACAAGTGCACCTCCTCCCAGGATGGAGGATGTCAGCAAGGGGACTGTGCTGTCCTAAAGATGCTCCCCACAAACTTGCCTGTTTGGACAATTTAGATGGGAGGCTGCCCTCAGGTTTTTGTCAAGACATTTAGCTCAATGAAGTGTGAAGAAAGGGTTTTCTGCACAAGTCAAATCAAAGAAGTCTCATTTGGAGAAACAGACCTTGGGTGCCATTCACGATTCCTGCACCAAAAAAAAAAAAAAAAAAAAAAAGAAACCCACCAAACCACTTGCTTCTTACCTCATGTCTTCATGTCCAGTTCTGAGGGAAGGGGGAAGGGTTTGATGTGTACACATGAATAGAGCTTGTTTTATGTATACAAGAGTCACAGGAATAGGGATGTTTTGACATTTGCACATTTATTTGTTACCTCATATCAGGAGACAGAAATCAAAATTCCTCAGTCATTCTCTGGTTTACTCTGCTCTATCTCCAGACCTCAACCCTGTGAGCTCCACACCCGTGCCATTACCTGTGATTAAGTTATTGACAGCATGTCATTTGTCATTAAGAGTTAGATTTAGAAACAATGGTAGAGTTTACATTCTGTTAGGCAACCTTAAATAATCATTTACTCAAATCGATGATGCCATTGTTCACAGGCCACAGACCCTACCCAATGTTGATGAAATCATAAGAACTAAAAAACAATTTCTACAAAGCTTTTATTCCCCTCTGACAGTGTTAGACCAACTAAAGTGAGATAGATCAGGTCCACATTTCTGATTTAAATGAAATGGTCTCAGGCAGAAAAAAAAATGCTAACTTAAAGCCCAAGATGAATTACAAACTCTACTCCAAGTCTTCCTGACTGCTACCTCCACTGCACATGTATTTCCGCCCCCACTCCACACACACACACTTTAAGCCTGAGCTTCTGTACAATACTACCATGCTCTTCTGATCAGTTGCTGGGTTTCAAAAATACTGAAACTCCTATTTCCAAGACAGTGATTCTCAACCAAGGAACTGGGATAAAAGGGGCAGGCAGTAAGGGTAAGCCCTGTAATAAAAGTAATTTTTTTAAATGGGGTGCCCCACAATTTAATGAAGTTATATAGGAGTTTCCCCAAGTCTAAAAAATGTTCCAAAAAAGGCAGTTTAAAAAAGGGATATAGGTTTAAAATTCTTATTTCACCAACTCTCCCCCCTCTCCAAGATATTCATATAGCTATTTATTCCTATTATAGCGCCCCCCACTCCCCCAGTACTCTTCCTTAGTGTTATTTACTGAAGGCACTAATAAGCAGTTAAAATAGCAATGGCTGCCTCATTCCTGGGTTATTCCAGTGACAAAGTAGCAGAAGAAAGTCCAAAAAACCCACAATTTTCAGTTGTGTTGACTATAGGAAATAGTCAACTACAGTAAGGGCAAATAGCCATATGAATGGCTTGTAAATAATGGAACAGAATGAATATTTAACTTAAACCAACTACTGTACATCTTCCAAGCCAACATCCACCTAGATATTAGTTTTCTGACTAGACAAGTGGCTTCTAGTATGCAGCAGCACTTATTTCATTGTAAAGCCAAGAGGACAAAGTATGCCCTATTAGATATCACATTTGTAGCCAATAAAGATAACCCTTTCAAGAGTTAAGTTAACTAAGATCCTAGATTAGTGCAACAAGCCTATGCTTTCTCCAATATATCCATTCCATACACAGCTCTGTACCAACTACAGCCAATTAGAGACTTTTTACTTTGTAGGTGGACAACAGTTGAGCTTTTAATCAAAAGCTCAAGGACTAGGAAAGGAAAGTTTGATTAAGAAATACCAATTCAATTGGTCTGGTAAACCCTTAATACTTAAAAGGAAATTCTGAAGATTGCTCAACATCATTTTAATTAAAGTTAAGTTTCAATAGGATGTGTTGATTACTTTTGGAGCAAAAGAAAGTTACCAAACACTTCAATTGCAGTGATCAGGAATCATACATTGTCCCTAAGTTATCATAAGAAGGTTACATTAAGTTCCCAAATAAGTCTACACCCATTAAAAAAAAGTTGCCAGCAATTTTCAGTCAGCAAAAATAAAAATTCATCTCCTTGTACATCTCATGTTGTGCCATTTCTGCAGACAGACTAGTTCACAGGCAAAAAGATAGCACCAAGGTTACATTGAGCTGTGTAAAGAATACCCAAGTACCATTTATATGTACTGTCAATAGCAACAGAAATAAGAGTTAGAAACAATTTTACATAATCTTGTCCATCCACCTATGGAAAAATGCCTACTCCATTTTGAACCAATTCTGACAGCATCCAGCAGCTCCCACAAAAAAGACAAACACACACCAAAATCTCCATTCCAAGCTTAGAATTTTTTTTTTTTTTTGAAAACAAGTTATTCATCTGTATATAATTTCCCCCATAATTTAAGAGAGTCTTAAAGAATTTTAGAAGCTTAAGACATCTTTTAGTTACACAGTAAATACAAAGACAGTGACATTAGACCAATTTGCTTTAAGAGTTAAATCATCCAAAGTTAGAAAATGTCAGCTCTAGATGCCTTACAGAAGTCCCTGCAAAACAAGACACGACCATAGCTCAGGATTCCCACCCATTAGAAGTGAGTATTCATTTTGTAATCCCAGGCATCCACAGAACAGAATGACTGATATTTCATGCTCAGTAGGATTTTAATTACTGTGAACATTGTAGTTCAGACTATCAAGGTGGCAGTACTGGTGGGGTGGGGGCAATTCCAAGTGCTTTCATTCATGCCAACAGTAGCTTGAACACAGACTACTCAAGCTAAAAGCCTCAAAGTCACCACCACAGTAGAAAGAAAGGAGCAGGAGGTGAGCAAGAACCACGCCCCCCCCCACCATGCCAATCCAGATCTGCAATTTGACATTTTAAAAAGGTTTAATTATTTTTTACTGAACTATTCAGTGACCACTTTTCCATTTGCACGCTAAACAAGTTTCCATTCATTATGCCCCAAGGATTTAAGTTCTGGTACACTGGATTCTAACAGCAAAGTCAATGCTTTAAGATACTCAAATTTACTTTAGTTAAAAGGCTGCATTTGTGGTCCCTGGAATGAGTTCCTCAAGAGCTTAAAAGCTATAATGTCAGTTCAAAATGTAATGGCCTTATTATAGCTAGTGTAAATTAAAGATGGTAGTAAGCTAAACAAACAAAAAAAAATTCAAGTCAACCTGTCAAGGTATTTTTCAAGTCAGAAGCCATTTTAAAAAGAGCCTCCTTAATCCCACTTCATACCTGTAACACTTTAAACATATACAGCAATGCCCCCTTCCTCCCCAAAGAGTTGCAATGCCATGCTCCTTCATACAACATGGTATTAATGAAAGATACTACTCTTTATACCAAGGGTATATTTTGCTTACACTTCCAAGTCTTAAGCTATGTTTTATAGCTCTAAGGGGCATCACTTCAACATCCTAACTGAATCCTGCAAATTCATTACTTTAAGCCTAATACATTTATTTCTCCCTCCCACACTGAGATTACAGGAGCTTTGGACTACAGATCATGCATTTTTATGAAAAGGAAACAATTAAGCTTTTAAAAATTTCCAGCAGCACTTAAGCAAGCTCAAAATCAAGTTGCATATTGAAGGCAGGACACAAGAGGTCAGTGCCAGGGAACTCTAGCATCACCTCAAATAATCATCCTTCGGCCCCAGAAGAGATACTTCAAAGAAGACTTATGGTACGCCTTATTCCTCTTCATAAGTTTACAAAAAATTAAACTGAAGCAATGAAACCAGGTGAAGGAGTAACTGGAACATTATCCTCAAGACTCATTCCCTGCTATGAATGTCATTTACCTCAACAGCTAGTCAGATGAATGCCATGGGAGACTAGCACCACTTAACTATAAATCTTCTAGCTTCAGAAAAATTAAAGCAGATGCTTCTTGTTAGCTCAACAGCAGCTACTTACGTTACTAGCGAATACTGCGCTAAATGAAATGCCTCCCAAGATCGTGAGCACAAGCACTGCGGACTGGATTTCTGAGGAGAAGCCTTCTTCCCAAAAAGCTAACAGAAGCTCCTCCGGTTTCTGGGCTCTGACACCGGCGGGGAAAAGAAAACTGCTCTTTGAACAGCAAAGACAGGCATCGGCAGAGGTATTCCCGCAGTCACCATCTTCTGGATGCTTCCCCCACCCTTGCAGGCGCAATCGCTCCCTAGCGCACCAGCAGCCAGCGCTCCCTCGGGCAACTGGCAGCGCTCGGAGGCCCCCCGCGCTCAGGCCTCTCCAGCAACTCACGTGGTGCAGCATCCAAAGGTTACACACCCCGTCTGACGGAGAGTGACAGTGTCAGCACGGCCAGGGCGGGAGACGCTTCCTGCTCTGCAGCGGGGCCAGCCCGCCGCCACCGGCTTTCGCGGGCTCATGCCCGCGCCCGCGGG